GGCCCGGACGCGGGGGCCGGCGCCGCTGCCCCGCGGGGACGAGGATGCGGCGTTGCTGGCAGCCGGGGTCACCCTGGCCGCGGGGCTGGGAGGTGCCGCTGCAACCGCGGGGCCAGGCCCAGCATCAGATCCGTGCGGCCAGGTGGCTGCAGAGCGGCCGAGGGCATTGTGGCCCGAGCCTGCTCCCGTGCTGGCTGAGGGGAGCCCTGGGCACGGGGTGGTCCACGTTGATCACCTCTGCAAGCCAGGGAGCAGTTGGGCTCTTGCAGCCGCCTGTCCCGCTTCCCAATCCATCGACTTCTGGGCCCAAATCTGCTTCACGCCAGGTGCAGGTGGCCGTGACTGACAGCCCTGTGGGCAGCCTGCCCTTGGCTCAGTACTCGTTCCTTTCCACTGCCTTCTACCTGTGCTAGGTCTGCTTGGAAATGCCTGGGCCCTAAGCCCACACGCTGCCACCTGGCCAACAGGGCCAGCCATTTCAGAAAGGAAAAGGAGGTAGAGTTCCCAAGGAGGTTCCTGTTGGCATTGCACACAAAAACAGCCCGCTAAACAAAATCTCATTTTTCAGGATTAGCAAAAAATGTTCTTTTTTTAACAGTGAATCTCCTTGTGGTAGGTGTGCTGTGGAATTCGGCATATTGAGAAACCTGTGCACCAAACCTTGGGTTAAACGTTAAGATATTTTCGTAACAAGCGCACACAAGTCTGCAGAAGACCCTGATCTATTTGTAGCCACATGTGGCCTTTTTACTATGATTTCTTCATGGTATTTTTGTCTCATTAAAATGAAAAATTCCACACATGTATAATGACTTAAAAAAACCCAGGAGCTTGTGTACTAAGGTGTATAAAATGATTGGAAACTTCTGCAGCCATACTTTTGATTCTTCTGCTTAAAACTTTTTGTTACCAGGATTGCCTGGCATAGGTGACTTGAGAGCTGCAGAAAGAGAATAAGACGGAAGAAAATTCATCTTTAAAAGCTGCTAGTAGATTGGTTAGATGCAGAGAAAATACAACAGTTCCATTACTGGCGAAGAGTATAGAGCGCATGGAGGAGCAATGCAGTGTGACAGTCTTGTTTTACTGACTTATTATCAGAGCTGATGTTGCAACCTGTCTAATAAGATTGCAAAGCCAGCAAAGCGATGTGTTGCAGAGTTATTCATGAATTAGAACAAAAACTGGAAGAAATCATCTTAAACATTTTTAATTTATATCTTTTTCTCCAGGAACCCTGAATCCTGTACCAAAAGTGACTATTTGTTACATAAGGAAACATTAATGAGAAAAGGGGATATAAAAATAAATTTGCAGCTGATTTCACAAAATGAACTTGGCTTATTATGGAAATTAACTGAAACAAGGCCAGAACACTTCAGTGAGTTAGGTATAACATCTCTAGATTTCAATGCGTTTTCCCCTGAATTTGCTACACTATACTCATTCTTTCTTCCCACGCCCTGCATTCTCTTTAGAAAATCCCGTATTTGTAAATCCCTTGTTTCTCTAGTGCTAGATGCTATGTGCAAAATAACATACTTGGAAAAGGCTTTAATTTGATGCTGTTAAGACACAAGTGGCAGAAGTAACTTCTGTATGTGGCACTCTGGAGGGAGACTGGAGCACCTTTCTAGAGAGGGCAGAAAGCAGAGCAGGAGATGGGGAAGGGGAGGGAACTGGAGTGATACTTGGAGAGGGCCTTAATTTGTGGCACACCTGCCAGAAATGTTGCCCCCCACTGCTGTGGAAGAGCAATTGCTACCTTTAAGCTTCTCTGTTTCCATTTTGCTGACCTGGCTAGTTAGAAGAGAAGATGTCGATGACTTTGGGCATCCTGCATATCTTTTCTAGCATAGTGACAATTGACTTAAACATGTATAAAAGCACTGGTATTAGCAACTGAATAAACAGAATGCTAAACAGTAGTATCAATTTTAAATAACTACCTTTTGAGTTTAGTTATGGATATTGAATTTAAGAGCTGATAATAGTTTGTGCAGATTTTCTGAGAGCAAAATCTGTAACCTACTAATATGTGTGCCCTTCTGCTTCAGATTCTTCAGAGTCACCTCTGGAGCAAACTCAATTTGATAAAAAGGTAAAGTGATGTCTCAACATTAATTGTACACTTATTGATTTTGGCTACTGTTTTGAAAAAAAACCTCTTAAATTTTAAAAATTAAAAAAAGTGGAGTAGTTGCATAATTATTACTGCAGTTCATGAAGAAACTACTTTCACAGTGCATTGGATTTAGCAAAGACTCTTGAGCCACAGTTCTGCATTAATTAGATGGGAGTTATTGATTGTGGCCCAGATGAGTGTGGGCAGTCTAGAGCCTATTGTTTTTTTGAAGGAGAATTTTTTTCCTTTTCTTCAAGAGTAAGCAAGTAATGCTCTTCATAGAGGACCATTTTTATATTTTAGTTACCTTGTATCCCTGTATGGTGTATACTCTAAGTGTAGGCTGTGTCTAAACAATTACAGTGAAATGGATTTTTTTAAACATTTAATTGGACCACACTCACCCTTAAATGCTGTTCCCGCTTTGTATAAGAGCGATTATCTTATTTTAATTATTATTGAATAATTATAAATGCAGGACAAATGTTTAGTTGCTGGGTACGTTCTACTGTCCACCAGTATGCAGCAGTTATGGTCTAGAGATAAAACATTGCAGTAACACACTTAAATTGCCAGTGAAATTAAAAAGGGAAGAAAGTGGCTTAACAGTGAGTACGCATGTTTGTTTTCCCTACCCTGAATATTAATAGAATAAATTTACATTTCTTAGTGATCTTGGTGTTAGGTAGAACAGCCTCTCAGACTGGCATGCCTGTGCTGATTTATGGAATCTTTAGTACAGCTTAGTAGTTCTAGAAATAACTGAACTGACTAGTTGGAAATGGCATCTCTAAGTATTAGCTATAGTTTGATATTGAACAGTTTTGTTGACTTATGTAAATTGATCATTTGATGGTATGACACTTTAGAATTTCTTGAAATTCGTAGAAGGCTAGGAGGATGTTAAGTCAGACAATTCAGCATAATGTTGAGATTTGCTACGCTTCAAAATACTTCTGTAGTGTCAGTGCATGGGTAACTATTTAAAGGGTGCCTAAAGTTGATAGCCAGCTAAACAGTTATGATCTTTATATAAAGCTGATTTGGAAAAAAAAATGGAATTGCAACTTTAAAAGTATTTTGCAGTTAAACTACTCAGCTTTGAATTATTGTAGAAATACGATGCTAGAAGTTGGCTTTATAATCTGTAATATTTGCTATCGGGTGTCTTTAGGAGGGAAATGCATTTTTGCAAAGCATTTCAATTACCTCATGTTTGCTTTGTTCATACAAAATCAGTACTAGATAACAGGGCTTCCAAATGCCAAACAAATTAAACAAATTGGTTATATATCAAAAAACAAGTAACAGGAGGTCTTTTCAGGAGACACTGAAGACATAATCTAATTATAGCTTTGCTATAATGTTTTGTGGACCAGCAGTTACCACTTTTATGTGGCAGTACCTCACTTTGTAGATATGTTTCCAAGTTACTGGTACAACATACAAAATCAGATGTAACTTTTGTATAAACTTCACTTGTCCTAGCTGACATCTTTTGGTGTGCATAGTGAAATGTAGATATGAATGGAAGGAAGAATTGAGATGGTATTTAATAATTTCAATAAACATGTTTTATAACATTAAGAAAAGGTGGTAGTAAGTGTGTATACATTATGTCTTCAGTATAGAATGTTATGGTAAATTGGAAACGTGAGCTTTGTTCTATTTAGGAGCAACGTGCGGGTGAAAAGTCCTGATACCTTGCCTCGCCCTACTTTTCAGAAAGGAGGTTGCTGGGATTTCTACCCAGAAGAGGTCTGACTGCATTGTACTTCCTACCTAATAACTTCGTATGGCAGGAAAGTTGGCTTGGGCCTTTTCGAGGCTTTGTCTATTGTGACAGCATCTGTAGAGGAATTTTCCATTTGAAGCTCTGTTTGTATGAGCTACTGGAAGGGAAGTGATGGCTTTCTGTTTCTTTCTGGCTGCCGTGGCTAGGGGATAATGAATGTAACTTTGCTACTCTGTCCCTTCAAGAGCATCCAGGATGTCATCATGTTAATTATTACTTTTACTCCCCCATCATCTCTTTAGCGCGGTGGCCGTCCTTTGTAAATATTTCTGGTACTTGCCTCTGGTGCTGTTTCAGTTTTCTAATTGTAACCTGAAACTGAAATAATTCCTGAGCATTTGTCTGTGACCCACAGTGCACTAATGAGACTAACCAGTTCTGTTGTTCTGTCTTGCATCCTAGGATGCAGCAGTGGTTTTGGAGATGTGTGCAGACTCAAACAAATTGCACTCATTTCATATTTGAAAGCCTAACTTCTTGAGACTGCAGAGATTTTTTTAAAATTAAAGCTTAAAATCTATAAGTGATGCAACTTGTGTCTCCATGGATTACCAACCATAGCTTTCTGCTAGCTCACAAGTGATGACTTGGACTATATGAGCATTATTTTTTGGACATTGCAAGTGTCTCACTTTTTAGAATAATCAGCTCTTAGTTCTGTATACGTCTCAGAATTTTGCATGTTTTTAGGTCCTGAATTACCCTCGGCATCAGTGGGAATCCTAGGTAATTCTTTTTTCTGTGACCAGGTCTCCTTATACCCTAGTCCAATAAGTGAAACAGATTTTGCAAGCACCAATTATGCCACTGGTGGGAAAACTTTCCTAGTAAAGGTCAGTTTTCTGTGTCCTTGCATAAATGCTTCTAATATTATATAAACAGTATGATCATATTCACATCTGTGCTGAAACACTGCACTGTTTGGTTATGTCAGTGGATGGGAGTAACAGTGGATGCCTTGGAGGGAGAGCATTGAACTGGGTTTATCTAGAGTGCTCTGTCCCTTGCTTGCTACCCTACCTGATATCCACTGTGCTAAAGGATACATCTTACTGTTTTGTTTAATAGCTATTACTGGATATATCATCTGGGAACGTGTCAAGTCCATTTTTGAACCTGGCTGTACTATCTGCATCTACAGTCTTCTGTAGTAGTGAGTTCCACAAGCTAACTACCTGCTACATAAAAAAGTACTCTTATTCATTTTAAAGCCGTCTCCTACTAATTTCAGTGGGTGCCTCCTATTTCTAGTATTCTGGGAGTTGGTGAATAACAGTTCTCTTCATTTTGTCCACACCCCTCATGATTTTATAAAACTCTTATCATAACCTGCCTCAGCCTTCTTTTTTCCAAACTGAAAAATCCTAGCCTTTTTAATCTCTTCTGGTATGGCAGCTGCTTCATATCCTTGTTCATTATGATTGTCCTTCTCTGTACATTTGTTAATTCTGCTAGATTGTAGTAGAATTTGACCTCCCTCCATCTTGAAAAGTGACCATTTAGTAGGGCTGTGTGAAATGGACCCTATTCGATTTGGCCAAATCCGATTCTGATGATTCAATGCTGAATTTGGATGTAGGCACAGCTTTAAAAGGTTTTTCTACATACCTTGAGGTAGCAGTGTGACTTGTGATCGCTGCAGTGCTGGGGTGCGTGGAGCATTGCATAGGAGCACGGGCGGCTCTCCAGCGTGCTGGGCAGTGAACCCGGAAGTGGACTGGAAGTATTTCCAGTCCGCTTCCGGGTCTGCTGGGGAGTGCGCTGGGGGGACCCCCCCATGTCTCCCTGGCTCAGTGATCGGCCACAGGGGGACCCTGGGTGACCCCCCAGACCTAGGAGGCACCAGTTGCTGAGCCGGGGAGGTGCAGGGGAAGCCCCCTGCATGCTCCCTGGTGTACCAGGAAGTGGAGTGCCAGCCATGGGGCGGGCGAGGGGCCGCTTTTCTCCATGCAGGGAAGGAGTCCAGGGAAAAGCTGAGCATGTGTGGGGGGGAACGGCTCTGCCCCACACCCAGTACCCCGTGCTGCAGGTGCTCGCAGCCCGCATAGGGCTGTCTGGAGCGGACACAGGCAGCCCCACGTGAGCTGCAAGCAGCTGCAGCACGAGGCACTGGGTGTGGGTGGGAAGAGTCTGCTTCCCCACCCTGTGCTCCTTCCTTGCCCAGCGTCCCCCACCCAGCACTTACCTGAGCTTCCCTGGCTGGGGCTTCCGGCTGTGGAGCAGGGCTGGGTGGGCCGGCTGTTGTGGAAGTGTGCCGGGCTTCCCTTGGGTCCTACTGCCTTTGGTTCCTGTCATTCTTGACAGGAACCAAGGGCAGAGAAATATTAATTTTCCAAATTCTTTTAGGGGCCCCACAGACCAGATAGAGTGGCCTCATGGGCCAGATCCGGCCCGCGGACCGTATTTTGCCCATCCCTGATTTAATACCAGACATTCTAGTTCACACATCTTATTTTTTTAGGCCTCTGGC